TGACTGCAACGCGTGCTACATCTGTGACAGAAGCTGAAACATACTGAATTAAAAACTTGGAATGAAAGTAAAAACAATAAGTTTACTTGATACTGGCAAAAAAACAATATTTAATTACTGTCGCGAATACTTCCATATTTCAAGCATAACTAATCACGCATTCAGACTGGGTTTGCATTCGACTTTTGTTACCTCAGTCTCGTTCAACCACGCCCTTGACCATACCGAAGTCTTGCAACTGCTCGTAACCTTAGGAGACTTAAACGGGCACTTCTGCATTGAGTAATTATGCGATGCAGCCTAAAAGATCTTTAATTTTCAATAAGAATGAACAACTCACATATACATGACATACATATGCATTGTTCTGCTATTGCGATATTACTCTATGCTGTACATATATAGTCTACGGCATATATTGCATACAATGGATGTAGTGCACACTGAATATATTATACACTGTATTATAGCGTATGTTATGTACACTACATACACTATGTTTCCATTACAGTATATATAGTATATCTTACATTGCATCACACATTTTCAGACTGAACCTGCCTCGCTGATGCAGTCTTTCAAGAACGAAAACAATTGGAAAATTCACTTCCAAATAGATCAAAGCCTATTAATCATATTTGGCTCACAGAACATTTATCTATAAGCAGAGTTCCACGGATGTCACATCCTTTCAGACATCGCCAGTCTTCTTCTTTTATCAAAATGTCAGACATGATAAATAAGTAAGCGCTTCGATCATGTATCCACCAAACATCGACCCCTCTATCCCCACTAAGTACAGAGCTAATATATATATATATAGCGCATTTATTCAATTACTAAAGCTCTCCAACATTAACTCATATCACGGTGTACTGCACGTAATTTCCGTGGCAATCAGAGAAACAAAAGATCAGTTTTTGCTCATTACGTTATATCTCGTTAATAATCTCGAAATGGAGCAGTATATATATATCACATTGACCTTTCTATATGTTTTATATACCAAGTTTGGTCTAAAACGTCAGATATATATAATATACATTTTGGATTTTTGTTCCGTATTTCCATGATCCTTGAACGATACGTCGACTTGTTTTTCAAGCGACTTGAGACGCTGAATATTACCGTGCGAGGAACGAAAGAATGCTCACTGATCAGACTCATCAGCTTTGACACTAGGATTTTTTACATAATTCTCTCAGGATTTATAATTAGGCAAATTGGAAAATCAAGAAGATTAATGTAGGCTATTTGGTGATTGAGTGTTTTTTCATTGCAGAGGAGAGCAGTAAGATGAAGTCATTTCGAAATGTGAACGTAGCCAAAAGACAGCGGTATCAAAAATTACCAGTTTGCGTTCGAAGCAAACAAATTCGACAACGGAGTGAATTGAGGCATAATAAGTCTACTTTCTGCGATGCGAAGATGGGCCGACGACTTTCTTTTCCAGGCACACAAGTGGTGGAGTCCAACATTTCGAACTGGTTCCCTCACGGATCACGCAAATTTCCTCACATTCGTCGAATAATATCCAGCAATCGAGGTGAAAAGCAGAAACTAAGGACTAGTGTAAAACTGCTGATATTCGTTCATGGTGTATGAATTTATGATTCATAATGACGGCAAGTCCTATAGAGATATAAAAATGAACAAGGTTCAAAAACAGGGGCAGTCCTTACACCATGGATAATTCTAACACTTGTGTAAGTGCCAATATGGGTAGCGTTTCTTCTTACTTAACAGCGACCGGCAATTAGAAGGTATTCATATTCACATCCAGACCGTAATCCATCTGTCACTCTTACAAACCGATTGAGGACGAGCGTGTGAAAGCATCGACCTCGTCTCCCTGATTGCACTATTCCTTCACTGACCAGTTTCAGACACAGACAGAAGAGACCATACGTTTCAAACACCAATAAGACATTTACCCAGCGAAAACATACAGAGTGAACCTTCTTCACTTAACGTCGACTCTGCGCTGAGGGAATTTTTACACCCGATTGTGCCGCAATTTTGCACCGCTCATTGATTCTAATAGTATGGATCAGAAATGTAAACTGGCCACGTTTCCATGGCATCACACCAGTTACTTTCCTTTATCTTATGTTAAGATGATATCATTCATTAAGATATCTGCTACAGGCTGTCGCGTCTTATACGGATATATTAAGTGAACATAACATATGTTATGGAATGTATTGCAACGAACGATGGAATGAGTTATTACGAAGTCGCTGTACAGGGCTATCACTGACTGCAACACATATTACTCAGAAAATGAACGATCTTCAACTACGTAATGGTTATGGTTTATTATCACGTCATGCATATAAACAGTCAGCACTTATATCATGACAGATCCTTAATAAAAGATTTAAAAGTATTACTCATGCATTCCTTATAGACAGAGATGATTTCACACACAGCGAAGCCCAATAAGGACTGATTTCGTTTCTAGTAACATCAGCTTTCAGAATCTTAAAAATAATCTAGATAGTATGGCGGATCTAGAGGGTTCATCTAGTGACTTTAAATCCCTAGCTATCGATTCCAATCTGGGCATTTGAGTATAACGTTTTAAATTCGAATCTTTTTCAGTACCTGGGCCTTTGAACAAACGGTTTCAGCAACTTGCAACTCCAGATGATACATTACGCCGGCTACCACCTGTTTGCTAGCCTTCTCTAAAGTCAACATGGCTCTGTAGGCATCGCCTTTCGAGTCGGCATTGATTTTCTTCACTGATATATCAGCCGCTTCGACCACTTCAGGGCTATGCAATGAGGTGTCAGCTGGGGCTCCGACGAGTGGCCCCATGTTCTTCGCCGATTCGTTAGAAGCAGCGGCCACGAATGCAGCTAATGTCACAAACAAATAGTTCATGTCGATCGACCGTCTCTACAAACGTAAGGTTAGTGGGCGTCTTAGTTAATACGAGGCAATGCCAGCGAAACCGCGACCGCAACGCAAATCATTTACTCGATATCCAATTGGACATCTCGAAGCGCCCTGATAAACGCAGTTTATCTGGCAAATCGCGAAAGCAATAAATTTCTAGCAAACAACAGCTAGAAAAAATCAGAGGGTGTTAATTGATTATTACTCTGTTAAGAGAGTGATACATGACGCTAGATCTCCGAAGCGTGCCCGTTCCAATTCGGTCATCGAGTCTAGAGCTTTGGCAGATTTCGACTCAAAATATATTGTGAATTAATCCTTTTACTTGGATGATATTTCGTGGTTGAACGCTTGGCGGTCGCTCATCATACAGAGGTCGAAGCTCTCTGAGAGGTCGAAGATTTTTGGGAGGTAGTCCAGAAACAGACGCATCTATCCATGGTTTTCAATTAGCCTGCAGGACATAAATGGCGATAGACACCAGCTGTAAGAACGGTAGTACCGGGGTTAGGCCTGCGTGTGACTGTTTCCGTTCTAACCACGTGACAGACCCTACGGCCATACAAATGAATTTCCTAAATTTGAGGTGAGAGTCACAGCGCCATACGTGGTCAAGATTGCCCCGTTCTTGTTTCTTAATATGAATTTTGTTTCTTACGTTATGTTGTCCTAGGTTTATCGAGAAATGCTACGTAAGTTATTGAAAGAACAAGTAAATGACGTTTCAGGAACGCTGTAATGCAGAATACATAAACACCATATTTAACAATGTGAGAATATTAGGTTTTTTGCTACTCAATGCACTATTTTTAAAGTCTTAAAAATTGTTGTTTGGGCATGATAAGATGAATGAATGTCTCTGAAAGGTTCGAGAAAGACGGGTTTCAAATTTTCTTTGCATTCTACGGTGAGAACGCTCTTTTGATGCACTTAAATACAAATACTCTACATGGACTGCCTATTTTAAAACTCTGATACCCTCTCGTCCTCCAGAAGAATTAGTTATCATCAAAAATGAAGAGATTGGATTCGCATATAAAGATACTACTTTTGCCCATGGTTTTTCATCTTGAGCTGACATCATTCTACGAATGTTTTCTAAAAATCGAACAGTGTAATTCAGTCAAACGAATGACAAGCGTCGTCGTAGAATGTCATACGAAATGTCACGTATTAATCATAGGGATCGATTTCGAAAGGGGAATAGATCTAGGTTTGTGATGCTCAGATCAACAATGGTGC